TGCCCGCGGGGCCGCGGCCGGCGGCTGCTGCTGGCGGGCTCCGTGCTGGGCTCGGCCGGGGCCGGCCTGGCGCTCACCCTCATCCCGCTGGCGGGGGGCGCGGGGCCCGCGGGCTGCGCTCTCAGCTGGCACCACGGCCCGCCCGGCTCCGTGCCCGGCTACCCGCCCGGCTCCCTGCCCTCCGCGCTGCCCGGCACCCTGCACAGTTCCGTGCCCGGCACCCTGTCCGGCTCCGTGCCCCGCTCAACGCCCAGCTCCGTGCCCTCCGCGCTATCTGCCTCCGTGCCCGGCACCTTGCCCAGCTCCGTGCCCGGCTTCCCACCCGGCTCCGTGCTCTCCGCGCTCGCTCCCACTCTGCCTGCAACTCTGCCCACTACAAAGCCCAGCCCGATGACCATCCTGGTGCCCAGCCCCGGCACAAGCAGTTACACAGCGCTGAGCTCGACTGCTCTGCCGGACACGAGAGCTGTGCCGAAGGGAAGGAGGAGAGCAGCTGCTGACGTGTTGGCAGCGAGCAGGAAGGCAGCTCTGGGCAGCTCAGCCTTCCAGGGGTTATTGGGCAYGACAGGTGCAGGTGCACTTCAGGAAAACGGCAGAGGGGTCGGAAAAGATGATCCAAAGGGAAATGGCTCCTCGGATGGTCCCTCTGGCTGGACAGTGAAAGCCATTGATCAGGAGACACAGGAACCAGAAAGGCCAGCTTCCTCTGGACCTCCCTCCCCTGGACTCCAGGAGGAAGCTCCAGGTTCTGCTGCAACAGATCTTGCTGATAATGCTGAGGAAAGCCTTAACGCTACGGAGACTAATGAGACACCTTTGTCTAAAACAACTCTTCCCACTGTTGAAGATGCGTACGTGTCTGAAAACTTACCAGATTCTCACGATGTCAGCTTTGAGGCAGCGCACAGCATCTTCCAGGACAGAGAATATCAGGTTTTTCTCATGGTCCTGGGCGCTGTGGTACTTTGGGAGCTGTTGGCCACTTCCCTGGAATGGACTATGGATGAGAATGTGTACGAGTACCTGGACTGTGTGGATGCCACAGACAGGTATGGGCAGTTGTGGCTCTGGAGTTGCGCGGGCGCGGCCGCCGGAGCCTGTGGCGTGTCTGTGCTGGTGGATCAGCTGGATTGCTTTCTTGGCGGCTCCATCCCCCGCCTCGCCGTGCACTTCTACGGCTACGCCATC